TATACGTATTTTACAGGGAGCTGTTCCAGCTTAGAACTAGTTTTTTTTAACATAAATTAGTTTAGAAAGGAAAGTGGTRAAAAGTTCTCATTATTGAAATGTCTCTCAAAGCAGTGTCAAGGTTGCTTTCATCATGAGGTCATCTGGTGAAAAAAGCTTTAAACTTGTTTTAAAATCTGAAAAAACTCGTGATAAATCAGAAAGATCTCAGCTGAGTTTGCAGCAAACAATATTTTTTGATCTTATATTATAACTTTTAAGTCTGACCAGTTTCACCAGTGGAGAAAAGCTAAAACTGAAGAAATCTGATCCTCTCCTTCCAACTCTCATTAGAACTAATACGTCTTCAGTTTTTGGATGTCCAGGTAATAAAGAATTACAGTAATCCAGTCTGGACGTGATAAATGCATGGATCAGTTTTGAGCATCATTTCTGGACAAGATGTTTCTAATTTTAGTGATCTTACGCAGGTGGATGAAGGCGGTCCTGGTAACGTTTTTAATGTGGGGGTTAAAAGACGTGTCCTGATCAAAAATAACACCAAGGTTCTTTACATTAGAACTGGAGGCAGATTAGTGCCTTCCAGAGGAGCTGAAAGGCTACAAAGTTTATTCCTAAGATGTTCAGGTTGTTTAGGTTGCATCTTTTGATAAATATTATTGTTCTTTTAGTGTAACTGATCAGGAAATTATGTGTATTTTCCAGTGTTTGGCCAAATAGCAATGTGTCTCTGGATGTTCTGCCTGTGAGGGGTCCACAGGGTCCAGCCCTGAGAGTCGGAGAATCTTCCTCAAAGGTACTCAGAGTGTCTTCAACTAATCATTTCCAGTGTGTGAGAGAAACACCTTGGTTTCACCCTTTAATGGTGGAATTCTCTCCTCAGACCTCAGAGTCACTGCAGTCCCAGTCGGAGTCCTGGACCATCCACCCACAACAACTTGTCCTCGCTGCTCCCACCATCAGTGAGCTGAATCTCTCTTCTTCTTTTTTTAAATCTGCCATGTAGTTTAAGTTAAACCAGATTGTTTGTTTGTTTGTTTGTTTGTTTGTACTTCAGACGGTCCGTCCAGCACCAGCCACGTTCACATTCGAAACAATACTTCCAGAGAGCTGAGCTTTGATTTGTCGTGGCCGGCACACTGCCTCACCATCACACCACAGCACGGACTTATTGAGCCCCAGTAAGAAGCAACGTTTAGTGTTTTTGCTCTGTAAAAATGTTCTAGAAAAAGTTTACATGTAAATGTTCCATGTGGTCTTTCTGTTCATGCTGTTGATATTAAACATACATGAAAAATGCTGGACAGTTTTAAGTTCAATGTGGTCACTCATAGAGTTAAGATGGCAAAGACTGCAAAAATGTTTATTTTTGTGGGAATTTGGGCCAAAAAATGTCAAGTTTTGAATTCACTAAAGTGTAACGATCTTTCAGCTCAGTCATTTATTTTGCCTTCTTTAATTTTTTTTTTTACAAAGAAGTCAAATAAATGTGTAACTGTTTGACATTTTTTCACTTACCTCTTATTTTTATAACTTCAGGTGCCACCTGCAGATTCTAATCAGCCCCAGTCCTTCACTGGCCACCAAACTGGCCCTGCTGCCATGGAGTGGACAGATTTATGTCCAGTGTGACGGTCAACAGAAGGTGAAAGCATTCACAAGCAACAAAACCAATCCTTAATGCTGAAAGTCAGAAACTGAACATGATCACTCTTTTACCAATCAATTTTCTTGAATTAGAATTTACTCAGAAAAGGATTTTCACATTATTTAAAAAAATAAATAATAATATGGACATTTGTTTAGACTCACTCTGACATGTAAAGAAATATAAGAAATAAAGCTTTGAAAAACAGTACAAATCTTTACAGCTTGCAGTAAAGAAACACTGTAGTGAATAAACACTATCTTTTTGTTTGAGAAGATGATGAAATCTTTGCTCTGTGGTTCTGGTTTAGTTCATTAAGGTCCAGATTCGTCAGGATTTGGCTCTGGACGTGTCTGCGTCCCCAACAGATCCATCTCTGTCAGCCCTGTCGGCTCAGGCTGCCACTCCTGTGCTGCCTGTGGCCAGAATCAGCAGCAAGCCCTCACCAGCCCCTCTGACCACTCAGCCCCAGGTGCAAATCAGCAACAAGACCATCACGTTTCCTCCGACTCTTTCAGGGGAAACYTCAGGTAAGGAAGGTCTGATCACTGGAGAGAAGTTATATACCTCAATTTCTAATGACCCAAACAAATGTGTGAGTCTTAAAACAGTTTTAAACATAACATCTTTCTACTCTGGTAAAAATAAGTCGCCAGACTCGCCACCAAAGAAAAAAAAAGGTCTCACACTCTTTGGTTGGACCACCTTTAGCTTTGATTATGGCACACTGTGGCATTGTTTCAATAAGCTTCTGCAATGTCACAAGATTTATTTCCATCCAGTGTTGCAATAATTTTTCACCCAGATCTTTCATTGATGATGGTAGAGTCTGACAGACGGACATATTTTCCACGACCGCCCTGAGGTCAGAGGTGTACATGGCCCTGTAGAGAAAGATGGAGGTGTTGGTCCAGATCCTCACCTCTTCATCAGGACTGATTTTCATATGATCAACTAAATTGGTTCATCTGTAGTTATTCTACAAAATACAGTTTCCTAACTTGTTTTCAGATATTTTTTATTCTGTATCACTGTTTACAGAAAAGTTTGATTAAAAGTCATTTTCTGTTAATTCAGTCTGGTGTTTCCAGATGCTTATAAACTAAAGTAATATGTTGTTGGGACAACTTACAAACAAGTTGTAAACAAAAACAATGAATGGCCTAATTTTCTTTTCAGAAAATTTAAGGTTGTGATCCATAGTGTGTGTGTGTGTGTGTGTGTGTGTGTGTGTGTGTGTGTGTGTGTGTGTGTGTGTGTGTGTGTGTGTGTGTGTGTGTGTGTGTGTGTGTGTGTGTGTGTGTATACGTTCCTGCGGAAGAATAAAACTCACTGTTGCTGTTCTTCAGAGGCCCAGCTGGAGGTTCAGAACGGTGAAGTGGAAGTGAGGTGGTACCTGTCGTCATTTGCTCCTCCGTACGTCAAGGTGATGCTTTTTCCTCTGCTAGCCGTTACCTGTTCAGAGTTTTGTTTTGTTTTTTAAAAACATTAACTCAACTTCATTTATAACACTTTCTAAATGCAGAAGTAACTCAAAGGTCCTTGCAGAGGAAGAACTTTATGAGAACCTGTCTTTTTGCAGTTTGTTTGTGTTTTTGTGTCTGAGGTCAGGCTGTGCTTCCTTCTTCTCAGGGGGTTGATGATACTGAAGATGTTTACAGAGCTACCTACACTGCTTTCAGGTGTTCCAAGGTCTCAGGAACCCTAGGAACCTGTGAGAAGATGCAGGTTAGTCCGCTTTTTCAAATTTAACTTTTTTTTTATGAATTGGTGCTGTACAAAAACTTTGTGGGAAAACAAGGAAAAAAGTATTGTGATGTTTGTATTTTTACTAGGGCTGTAACAACGAATCAATAAAATCCATAAAAATCGATTATTAAAAGCGTTCGCAATGAATTTCATTATCGATTTGTGTCAAGAAGGAAGCAAAAAGTAAAAAAAAATTAGAGAAAAATCATAAATGCTAAATTTAAAGAAATTATAATTATAATAAATTAATAATAGTTTTACATCAAAAAATAATATTTTTTTCTTTTAATCTATTTTACTCATTCAACAACCTATTAAACTTCTGTTACAGTTTATGTATGAGAAATACACATTTTTTCAGTCAGTATTTAATACAGCTGACAAAATGTGCTTCTGTTTTTAATTCAGCAGATTGTAAAACAAATCCTTCATGTCATGAAAAGACCCTCTTGATTCAAGAGAAAACTGGTTTTTAAGAAAATGGCTGCTTATCAGTTGTTAGTCAATATAAAAGATAAATCAACTTCAGATTAATTCATTACTCGATAACTTACATCCGTAATTTATGCAGGAATGAAATTATTTTATATCTACTCATATTTACGTAATGAAGCGTTTTAATGATTTTGGCYGATTAATCGAAAAAATAATCGACAGATTAATCTATTATTAAAATAATCGTTAGTTGCAGCCCTAATTTTTTACAGAATTATGAAGTGAGGACCTGAAAAAATTCTCAGAACATGTAGAGTTCAGTTTTCTTCTTTCAGATGTGAAATATGATTGTTTTTTGAACTTTCGTGTTTCACACAATAAAAATAAAAAAAGTGCAAATTAATTGTGGCCAAAGGTAATCAAACATTTTTTAATGCAAACTAGAGCCGCAACAAATTAAAAGTGCTGGGAGGAAAAATAAATTTGAAATTTTTACATCAAAAATGTAATTTGAGTTGTTTAAATTCCCTCCTAAGATGTTTCCATCGGAGCAACAGAAACACGTCTATAAAACCTGCAGCTGGATATAAAAGTATTATGGCTGGATACAATAATTATTTCTTCTGTTGTTGTTTGGTTTCTCTCAGGTCTTGGTTACCTTCCTTCCCAGAGACAGAGGGACTTATGTTCAGTTCTGGGACTTGGAGTGCCATCCTGTGTCTGATCCTCAGCAGAAAACCAGAATCCGCTTCCAACTTTCTGGCACTGTGAGAACTGAGATTTATATATTTTAAACTGTTTGTTTTATTTGAGCCTAACAATACACCCAGCTTTCTGAATGTGGTTTAAATGATTTACTCGCAGAATGCTTCCAAGCTCATCAATATGAAAGCAACATATCGAATGATTGGTTGAAATTTCCACATTTATGTAGCCTTTAAACGGAGCGTAGTGAGGAACCTGACTGAAGTCTTTTTATTCTTGAAGTCAAAGCCAACCTGACCGTTCAAAACAACTAAATGAACATGAGCTTAGTTAAGTTTGATAGAATCTGACTTAATCCCTTATTTGAATTATGGGTCACACATTTGATAAGTGCATTGTGGTGTTGACACTGAGCTGCACACTAAACTATAGCCTAATATCTGTACAACTGAGTGAGTTGTAGCCGTTTTTGTGTTTCCTAAAGCTATTTGTCTGTGGTGGCCATCTTCAATTGGGTGAAATTCAAAGGTTCACTAGTTCCAATAACTTTTCTGGGATTCTCCAGATATTTTGCTGACAGAACAAATGACACAAGCAAAACGTTTATCCTCTCTTAACAGCTGGAGCTATCTGAGCTAGCGTAGCTCGATGTTAGCGCATCTTTTTTTCTTTGTACACTTTAAAACGTCATAAAACTCACACATCCTGTGTGTGTTGTGAAAGGGAGTCAAACCTGGACCAGTGGAGGAACCACAGGAAGGAAACTGCTCTTTGGTGAAAACAGAAGCCACAGTAAAAAGCAGGAAGAGATCCGATGCTTCAGCCGTCAAAACCAGGTGAGTCATGTGATCCTAACCTGCACCCAGCGGCGGCTCAAACTAGACGCTGCCCAAGGAGTTGAACTGACTCCACATTTTATTATTGCTAACTTGAGGAATAGATGAGTAATGGGTAAGAGAAGAACTAAATGAAGGTTTGTTACCCTCAGCCAGGAGGAGGCTGTGAGGAGGGGGGTCTACTCTCCTCAGGACCTCTACACCTTCCCAGACACTAGAGTGGGAGAGTCCAGCTCTCTGAAGGTCAACATCCGAAATAACTCCTCAGACATGCATGAGGTGAGCCGCTCCTTCATCTGTCAAAAATGAAGGAGTTACTTTTGTTTCTAGTTGTTGCAGCAGAGAAGAGAAAGTGTGTTCAGTCTGTCTGTAGATGAGATCAGTAAACTGTAAACAAACTCTACATCCTGTTTGTGTTCGTGTTGCAAAGAAGATTGCATGACTAACCTGAAATATTGCTGCTTTGCATGGATTTGATCTTTGATGTGTGGCCTCTCTAATTGACTTGCAGCTGAAATTTGTGAAACCTAGGGAGCCCTTCTACATGAAGCATTTGGAGTATTCCCTGAGGTGAGTGCCATGGTTATTATTCCTGACAGATGCTCTCAGATAAACACTTCGTATCGTGGCCTCAACGGGAACAAGGATTTTAATCAACTTTACTTCAGTTTGTGTTTTTATTTCTTATCATTTCCTGTATTTTGTTTCCATTTGGTTTGCTGTCTGTGGAGGTCCTGGAAGGTAATGTTTCTGTGTACAGATGAGGCTGAGAGGATTCTGACACCGGTCCACAGGTAGCAGGGGCTGTGTTCAGACAGGGCAACAGTTTGTGAAGAACTCTGAGTGCCACGTGGCCTTTGTAATGACTTCATGTTGGTGCGATTGTGGTTTGTTTTTATTGTCAGAGGACAATAAAACTGCAGACCCTGTAGTGTGAAGTCTGCATGTGATGCTCCCAGCATGTTGTGGCTTTTATCAGGGCGTCTGTAGAAATGTAAGACTTCAAAGTCTGAATTTATTGAGTTTATTGAGCCTTAGGCCTGTCACAATAACAACTTTTGCCAGATGATTAATTGTCTCAGAAATGATTGTGAAGAATGAGAATATTGTTTGGAGACCATGCTAAACTAATACGTATAGTGATGCACCCCCTCCATTTATGAAGCTCATGGAAGTTTACAAAATTTATGTACGTGAAAAAAGAACAAACTGACCTAATTTTAATTTGTGACAGGCCTACTAGTGATGTTTTATATAAAGAATCGTTTTATCACTGAGAACAGCAGCGTGGTGGAACAGCTGGTTGCCTCACAGGTTACATGCTCTCCCTGTGCACAGGTGGGTTTTCTCCAGGCACTTCAGTTTCCTTCCTCAGACCAAACACACGTTAGCTTAACTGGGTGTTCTAAAGTGTCCTTTAGGTGTGAGTGTGAGCCTGCATGGCTGCTGGTCTGTGTGCTGCTCTGAGGTCCTGTTCACGGTTCTCTGAAAACCCACAAGTGCACGTGGAGCACGAGCGGACTCTGGCCTAGAAAATTATTCATCAAAATATATTTGATGCCTCAAAAGAAGAAAAACTTTGGAGAAAATGGAATCCAATGTTTAGAAATTTTGAAATGGAATTAAATGTTTCTGATAAAATCAGATAATAAAATAAGTTCAAAGCTGCATGTTTAACTTGAACAGTAAAGCTAAATTAAATAAATGTGTGGAACATTTGACAATATTTAGAAAAATAAGGCATGTGTCTGACAGTTTTATCAGTTTATGGTTCAAACTTTTTTCAGTCATAAATAAGAGTTTTATGCAAAACTGAACTCATAAACCTGATCCTGTGCTGCTCTCTGTCCACCACACTGATGTCTGTTCTGTTACATTTAACATGCATTAAAAACAGATCTTTACTTTATTTTTTATTTTTCAGTTACATCAAGTAAAATCTCCTCTTTCCCTCTGCCTCATACCTGCCATGTTTTCTCAGGTCGCAGCATTACGTGAAGCTTCCCGTCCAGTTCAAGCCCACCTCAGCGGGCAGACATACTGGCTTCCTGCTCGTCCAATCAGAAACCAGCGGGAGCCTGGTGGTTCAGCTGAGTGGTGAGGCTTTGCCTTGAACTGCGCCCCCTCCTCCCGTCTGGTTCCACGTCCACTTCCCGCCTGGCTTCAGCTGTTCGTCGTGTGTCAGAGCAGAACAAGGCGAAACCACATGTGGATACAAATCAATTAAAGCGTCTTTAGTTCTCTGTCCCATCATTGCCTCCACCTGTGAGCAGAACAGTGTGTGTGACGAGGAGAAGGCTCGGGTGAAACTGACTTCAGTGTGTTGGAGGAGGGACGACGTCACCTGACTCTTGATCTGGTTTTTATTTTCTTTCTTCAGTCACGTCACGAGGCAGGTTTGTTGTTTCCACAGAACCTGTACAAACTGACATACGGGCCTTTTTTCTGCTAAAAAGCAGATCTGAAAAAGGAAATGGATGAAATGATTTCTTTTTATGAATTTGTAAAAATGATCACCAGAGCTTTAGGATTTTTTTTTTTTTTGACTGCCGCAGTCTGTCTACATTTCATGAGATTCGTAGTGGTGTGGTTTCATCACACAGAGCCTGCCTGCTCTGCTCTTTATCAGCACTGTGTGCTGACATCCAGCGCCCTCTGGGCCTCCACACAAACACTCCAGATGGATCTGATTTAATCACGTTCAGGGCAGCATGATTTATAATTCTGATCCTGTGCTCTGTCCTCGTCTTATTTTAACAGCTTTCCATGTTAGCATAAAATGCTGCTCATCACTGTTCCAGTAAGAACACCTGCTCCACATTTCCTGGTTCGGCTCTACAGGAAGTCGCTCAGTGACTTCAGGGTGTTCATTAGTTTCATGTCTAATATGTTTTGGAACTTGGTGGTTTTGTGGAAATGCAAACTTTGAGGAAGTGTTGGTAACTTATTAGATGTCAGTTTGAAGAACACTATCCAGCGTTATGTTTTTAATATGAAGGTAGCCTACTGTCACAGGGGGGTTTGACTCAGTGCAGTGTGTAATATATTGTATGCTCACTTTTTAAATAAAGTTTTTTTTTTATTAATAAATAGCTTGGCAGTTGTTTTTACCCTCATTGTAGAACAAGTTTGATAACTTGAACACCTTGTATCAAAGTATTTTATTTTATTTTTTGAATGAAGTAATTCAGTCCTGAGTCCACCTGAGAGGCTGAGAAAGTTGGCTTTTTTTTGTTACTTAAGGACCTTTTAGGTTGACTCAAGCAACTTAAATAAGAAAACAACCAACCAGAGACTGAGTCTGAGGTGACTGACCTAATGAGCTGAGTTCCACTCAACAACTCCATGTATTTAGTCTGAAATTAAATGTCTTGTTACATGTTAAGCAAAAAACAGTGCATGAAATATGAGAAAAGAATAATATATTTATCTTCAAACTACGAACAGCAGCAAAGGAACCACATTTAAAACTTGAATTATAATGTTGAGGCTCTAGTTAAAAAAAAAATTGTAAACAGTTTGGATGCAGGTAGGCCTACCATGTTTTTTTTAATTTRTTTTTCCCCATCAGAAACAACCTAAATGACTGAAAAATGGTCAACAATGGTGAGGTCTGTAGAACAGCCTTGAGGTACTGAGAAGTGTAAACAACAAAACTGAGTGGAAATGTGCATTAATTACTCATAGTGATCGAAGTATAACAATAGTTTTCTAAATCATAAATTAAAATGGATGTAAGCATATCAGACTAAAAAAACTGACTCACCGAATAAACAGAGAATTATAAAAGAAAAAAACAACTCAAATTTCTGGGTCTATTGTCCTGTTTTGATATTTATTCTTGACAGTTTTAATCATTCTTTGTCTTTTCCTTCAGGGTTCGCAGCAAATCCACTTTTATTTCCACATGAAGACCTCAGATTGAACACTAGTCTGATTCCTGCAGGTTTGTTGATGAATAAAGCAGGAAAGTCCCTGCAGGAACCTCCTCATCCTGAGACCTCTGACAGTTCAGGAAACATTTCTGTCCGAACACAGATTCAACAGTCACACTTTATCATGTTTTATAGCTTTATTTTTCTGTCTGTATACTTTGTGGGGATTTAGTCATTTAAATATTAAAACTCAGTTCATTCAGGAGATGGCTGCTCTGACTTTGAATTTTGTAGCTTTTGCACTATACAATATTTTTAAAATAATTTTACAAATGTTTTGCCCACTGAATTACAAGGTCATTTTTTTCAATTTATTATAAACAATTTTTTTTTTGTTTTAACAGAAGAGTTTGTTACTTATTACTTGATACTTGTAGTGTTTAGCCGGCCTTTTGCTTTAGATAACATTTGCTGCATTTAGATATTGTTTTGCTACTTCTATTTACCCTTTTACTATATTAGTTTTTATCTGCTGTTTTGTTCTAGTGTTTTTTAGCGTTTTATCACCTTTAACTTTTTCTACTTTCAGCTCATCTTTGTCTGTTTATGGTTTTACTTTTATTTATCAGTTTATTCACTCTTTTACTAATGTAACTTTAACAACATTTTACTTTGTTTTAACTAGTTTTTTAATCACATTTAGCATTTTCTACTTTTGGAAGTTTTTTTCTACATTTGGCCATTGTTTTGTTAGTTTTAGCTGGTGTTTTGATTCTTTTATTTACCTTTCATTACTTTTAGATTTGAGCTATTTTGCTATTTCATTTTTAATTAACTTTATCATCTTTAACCAACACTTGCTTTCAGCCATTGTTTTACCACTTTTTAAAATCCTTGTAATGATTTTAGTTTTCACTACTTTTTTTTGCTTTTATATTTTTGTCTAGCTTTTTATCTTCTGCTCCTTTTTTTTTTTTTTAGCTCTAACAACCCAATTTCAGATTCTTCACTGAACTTCAGCAGGTTCAGTATTCACTGAATTTCTTCTGTTTTGTTTGATTTCACACTTTATTAAAAGTATTCATTATAAATATACATTTTAAACATTTGTATTATTAATCATCCCTTAAATGTTTACAAAAATATTTACAATGAATACTTTTAATAAAGTGTTAAAACAGAGGAAAATCAGTAACACTGGTGAATCAGTCCTGCTTGAGGTCATGTTTTGGCAGTCAGGCTGCAGTACCGGCGGCGGCCTGCAGGTGTCGCCAAAGTGTCGCTGCACAGCGGCTGACAGCAGCGTGTTCTGTACAGTAACACAGCTGAGCTTTATTTTGCTTCAGACCTGACACCACTGTAGTGCAGTTGGACTTCACGTCTATCAACACAGCATCACTTTGAACAGCCAGCCACGGCGAGTCTGCACGTGAGCAACACCTGCATGTGTGCACAGGTAAGAAACCGTTGACTTGATGTAAAAGTGTAAGAGCAGATTTACTGTCAGCGGATGGAGGAATGTTCTGGTCATGCTAGCTGGTGCGGCTAAAACGCTTTTGCGGGTCTGTCCGGTGTTGGGTCTGACTTTGGCCCAGACGCTGGAAGTTGCGGTTCAAGCTGCAGAGCTAAGCTAACCGAGCTAAAGGCGCAGCAGGCGGCTAATCCATCAGCCGGACCAGACATCCCGCTGCGTCTCCTCCTCTTCCTCAGTGACCTCAGCTGTTCTGTTTAACTCCGTGATGAAGACACGGGATGGAGCTATAACCCTCCTCTGTGTTTTCATCAAACCAGCAGGTTGAAGGTTAGATGTAGATGTTTTAAACTGAGAAGTCTGGACTCAAACTTTTTCCACTCAGATGAGACCTGATGTATACTTGCTTTTAAAATACTTAAAGTATTAAAAGTAAAAGTACTTGCTTAATGTATTCCATAATGGTCTACAACAGTGGTTCCCAAACTTTTTATCTTCTGACCCACAAAATATCAGTGGTAAAAACTTGTGACCCCAAATATTACTGGTCTGAGTAAACAAACTTTGTTAATAACCCTAAAAACACAGGCTTTTTGACAATCTAAACAGCTTATACACAAATATAAATACGTATTTATAATTATTTTGCATTTTTGCAATAATTATAGGGAAAATATTACATCAGCAATTATTTTATTACCCTTTAAATTGATTTCTGGAGATTATCCAAGGTGCTTCATGACCCATAATTGGGTCCCAAGCACAACTTTGGGAACCAAAGTGCACTGGTTCCCAAACTTTTCAGCTTTTGACCCACAAAATAACAGTAGCAGAGACCTGTGCCCCCAACTATTTTTGTATGTTATCAGGTCAACTAAACATGGACATAGAAACAATATTTTTATTCTACATTTATCCATTTTAAATACACTAACCTCACTCCTTTGTAACAACTAAGGCAAAAATGTAATTAATTCAGAAAATCTTTTCAGGACCCCACCTTGATGTTTCGGGACCCCACTTTGGGTCCCGACCCCAACTTTGGGAAACACTGCTCTACAATATCATGAAGTGTGCCTACTGTGTGTGTATTTTTAATACATCAATTGTGCCATTTTAATGAACAGTGCTGCAGATAATGCATGTTTTTGTGTTTAACCTCTGACACTGTTGGACTTGTGATTCTGTGCATCATCACAGATCGTGACAACAGAAACTGTAAGTTTGCCACCAACCTCCTCTATCAAATCCCAACAAGTCATTTTTTGAACCAGTTAACTTGAATAAGTCTTTTAAAAAAGGCCATGAGTGTCACATTTCCTCCGTGGTGGAAACCATTGTGGGCATGCTGATGCTCTGCTTTTTTAATGGAGGAGGGTCTAATGGTACTTTACTGCTTTGCAGTGGTTCAGTGGACCAATTACAGCAATTCCCCCTCTCGCCACTGATTACTTAAAAAAACAAACAAACAAATAAACCACAAAAAAATGTGACGTGACATGAATGTGATCTGTATTCCTACGCATTACAGAAATGTAGTGGAGTAGAAAGTACATATACTTAATGTCAAATGTAGTGGAGTAAAAGTCAAAAGTACCCATGATGAAATCTACTTAATTAAAGTACAGATACATGAAAAACGTACTTAAGTACAGCAGGAAAGTACTTGTACTTCGTTACATCCCACCCCTGTGTTTAACCCTGAGCAGGATGAGCTACACACTGCAGGAGAGAACTCACCATCCACAAAACCACGTGACTTTACTTTGTGTGACCCAGAGACTTTGTGACCCAGGATTATTGGAGTCAGCTGATAAATTTAGTTCCCCCCACCTTTTATTGAATAAAAATAAAGTTTACTAGAGTTTGCAAAGATATTAACAACAGTTTGCCCCTGCATCATTGAAGAATCGTTTGGTGTGATTGCTTCCACCTTCTTTTGATTGATAAACTCTTTTTTTTACACGAAGGGCATAAATTTGTCTCTGTGAATAACAGACATRCTTTATGTGCATTTATTTCCTTGTCCAGCTAACCCAGGGGTCTGCAACCTTTACGATCAAAAGAGCCATTTCTGCTCCTTGTCTCACTAATAAAATGTGTTCGGAGCCACAAAACAAGCTACAACTGTGATTATCAAATGCTGGTCCGAGGGCCTTTTCAAGGCCTTTTCAGGAACCTTTTATGGCCATTGGAGGTGACATTATAAAAT